GCAGAGGGGAAAGATATTACTCTTTTACTAGTTGATACTAACATTATTTCTTTTGTGAGCTGCCTTTTCTTTCCCTCTTTTTCTCCTTATTATGTTTTGTCCGTCCTTGTGCATGTGTGCTTCCGCAGTCCATTTTCCTTCCTTCTTTGATACTGCTCTTCCTGCTTCTACGTGTCCTGCTGTTGGAAATGCTGTAGTTAACGGGAGCTGTGGTGACTGAACCCCATTCAAGGAAAATCCCTGTGAGGTAAGGGGTCAAAGATCACTTGGAAGGACTCTCTCCCTTCCCCTGCTCATTTGACTTCATATCTATACCAGGCTACCTGAGTTTTCCCGTGCTGGATTTTTATGTCCCATAGCATTGTTTGGAAATCACTTTCCAATACAAGGCCATTTTTCTGTAGTTCTACATTTTGTACAAGATCTGTTTTAAAAAAGAGACATTGTGAAACATCAAAGGCCTATGTAGTGCAGATAAATGACCGTTCAATTTTTATAGATGCCTTGCTCACTGTTTTAAATTCAAATTTAAATCCCATCCTAAAAATAGCACGTTAGCAGCCCACCAAAACCCCATGCTTTCTTTGGTTTTACTGCAGTTGGTAATTAATGTGTGTGTGTGTCAGGGTGTGGTGTTTCTTTTAAAGTTTTGTGTGCATGCATGACAGCCGGCACGTCTTTCTAACTTGAGTGAACTTGAGGTAACAGACAGATGGAAGAAATCAGAACAGTTTGAACTCCATTTAAACGACTGCAAGAGACTTAAGGAAATAATCCACTGGCTCATGCTTCATTTAATATCCATTTATAAAATATGACCTATCAGTACAAACTGAATGAAAAAAGATGACCCACACAGACACACGTGTTAATGCTGATCTGCAGGCATTCTTAAAAACATGATGAAGAAGCTATATGGGCGAAGAATCATCTCACTGCCTTTGTAACGTCTTAAAAAAAACTTGTTTTCCTCAACCCACATTAGAGTGTGTTGGAATTGTCTCTCACATAATGGCAACTGCAAGTTCGTGTTAAGAGGATGGACATTTTTATTTTGTTTTTAGTGGATATTATGGCCAGAAAAAAATATTTTATCTAGTCCTAAACCACACTATAGAAATATCTTCAAAGATATTCATTAGATATTGTAAAGCTGGATATTGTTCCCGTTTTCCATTCCCTCTGCAACTCTACTTTGTTTCTGTATCCTAATATTGCCATTTACAAACTCACGTTGGTTTTTGTTGGCTTTTGATTCCAAGTTTCCTGCGTAGCATGCCTCTCAGACACTTTTTACAGAAGAAAATTTTATTAGCATCTAGTGGATAAAATGTGTGCCTTACTGAAATATGTTTCCCATGCTGTTTCATTCTCAGTTTCTCTGTGTTCCCTTCTATATTCTAGTGCTTGGCTCACTGAATATGATGATCCAATGATTGAAATGGTCAATAACAGAATTGAAGGTGTCACCGGGCTTGAAATGGACACTGCAGAAGAGTTACAGGTAAAAAAGTTATTTCAAAACCAACAAAAAACTGTACATGACCACCAAATGAAGCAAACAAGTTTCCCTGTTTCCTCTGTTAGAAACTGATTTTTTTTACATGTATTTGTCTGCAGGTTGCAAATTATGGTGTTGGAGGTCAATACGAACCTCACTTTGACTTTGGAAGGGTACGCTCTTTTTCAGTTTGCCACAGTTAATGTACTGCTGCATTAATGTGGTAGGATGTTTAACATGGTATTGGTTATCTCCGTACAGAAAGATGAGCCAGATGCCTTTAAAGAGCTGGGAACTGGGAATCGTATTGCAACGTGGCTTTTCTATGTGAGTGATCACCCCTTTGGACCAGCATTAACCTTCTTTTATTTATTGAAGTTTGATTTTTACTATACTAATTGCCTATGCTGGTACTGAAATTAATTTAGCAGTCAGTGACACAGTCATTGTTATAATTAAAGTAGACATTGTTGACGTATAAGTCTGCATATTTGATAATACTGAGAAAACTATCGTATTAAGTTTCAGTATACAAATTTAGAATGAACCCTGTCACTGCACATAGTGCTAGCAAAGGGCTAGCATAGTATCGGGGGCTAGCTGTCATCTGTGACTATGGGCTTTAGTGTCTTTGCTGTGATAGGACAAAATTTACTCTGCTGATGTGATAAGAGAAACAATAGCATCTAAATTCTCAATTCAAATATAGTACGTTCAGTATTATTACTTAATCGTAAAGTCATGTGACTCCTCACCTTGAAACAGTGTCACAAAGCATTTACATGAGTGAGGGGCCATGCTTGTTAGTCATGAGGAACACGGGTAAATTTGGAAACAGGAGGATTTTATTTTACTCCAAAAATGCACAAAACTATTAACAAAAATTATATTTGAAATAAGTTCTAGGAACCTCAGCAAAAGAGGTCAAATAATCTGAACTCAAATCAGACTCAGAAATTAAAAAACGGACTAATAAAATGAACTAACTGCTTAAACAAAACCAAACACAACTGAGCAGAAATTGACTCAGCATGCAGGAAACAAATGGAAACTTAAGTCTTGGCTGATCACACCAACTTAGACACACTGGGAAGCAAAATAAATAATGATCTGTTATTGATCTGTTATCCAGAGAAACCACATACTGTAGCAGCTAATTTAACAGCTACTTCAGCATAAATAATACATTGAACATAAGATTAAACACATTAACAGTGTTTACTTTACAAAAGTTAATTAAATCTGCATACTACACACAAGAACTATTCTATCTTCAACTTCATTTTATATGAAACTAAGGATCTCATATAAGTTGTTTAAATTACACTGCTGGATTTTTCTTCTGTCTCTGTTGTAGATGAGTGACGTAGCAGCAGGTGGAGCCACAGTATTCCCAGATGTTGGTGCAGCAGTTTGGCCTCAAAAGGTAAATGTTGATATTACTCCTCTTATAAATGTCCATTAATATTGGTTTTCCAGCTAATCCTATTATGTAACAAACTGAAGGATTTTGTAAAAAAGGTCACAGATGTCCATAATAAAGTACACACCGTACATAATAAAAGAGAAAAATATACTTATTCAAGCACTTTTTCTCTCCAAAACACATTTTATTAATGGTAAAGGAGCGTTTTCATCCAATATAAGCTCATTTAGCGGAAATAACTGCCAGTTTGTTCATAAAAGGATTCTTTCATGTGCCCCCATGCTCTTATAATGTTTTTAACTGCCATTTTAACAATCCCAGTATAGCAAGAGAACACATGTATTTAAATTTTGCTTTATTTATCATTTCACTTCTGAGAAATCTGTTGCAAGTACTTTAGGAAACCAAGTCTTGGCTCTCTGAGATGATGTGCAGAACTACTTAACCATTGGTGCCTGTTTGTTTTCCAGGGTACTGCAGTGTTCTGGTACAATTTGTTTGCCAGCGGGGAGGGAGACTACAGCACTCGACATGCAGCTTGTCCAGTGTTGGTGGGCAACAAGTGGGGTGAGTTCGATTGTTCTTGTTGGCTATAAAGCCGTCTACCTGAGTAAGCATTGTATAAAAGAATAGTGCTTGATTTGAGGACTTGGGGATTTTGGATGATTTTGAGACACCAACACAAGGCCCACCTTCTGTTGAGCCTGTGTCCTCCACCTCCCTCTATTTACACTTTTAAACATTAAAATTATATTTAACAATTAAGACAATGCAATTTAAAAAGTCTGAAAAAGACATTTTAGTGTCAATCACTGCTTGATTAATAATGTTACTACACTGGCCAAAATAATTGTGATTTTACAGATGTTTTACATATTTAAATGTGTGTGTGTGTGTGTGTGTGTAAGACTGGGCTTATGATTAATCTATCTGTGTATTTTTCTTTCCATCATCAGTATCAAACAAGTGGATTCATGAAAGAGGCCAGGAGTGGAGGCGACCTTGTGGCCTAAGTGAATCTGAATGATTGTCCTCATCACCTTCGTGGCCCTCTCTTCCCCTCCTTGTGAAACACCCAGGACTAAAGAACTCTGCTGCAGATCACAGCGTGATGATGGATACACATGGATACAAAGAGTCTAAATGGCTCACCTCCTTTCTATAAACACTGACTTGTGTTTTTTCTTTCCTCTCGCTCTCCACTTGTTAGTCAGTTTCAAAGACTGTTTTGGTTAATGTCAAACTCCTGGACTGTATTGGCATTAAGGTGCCAAGGTGACATGTTCATAAGGTTTTGTTGGATGGTTTTGAGAAACACTTGAGCCCCTTTGTTTGCACTCTGAATGAACCTTAGAAAATACTAAACTGCATCAGAGATGTTTGTCTTTTCTGACAAGTCAGTTTATGTTCAGGCTGAGCTTTCCCTGGGAAACACTCCAAAGAATTGAAAATTATGACCATAATCTAGGATTGTGGGGGTTTTTTGGTGGAAAAATAAACACTTTATTTCCTGTAAGCTGTGTAAAGATCCAGAAGTGGTTTTAGTTTCTTGCAGTCTATGCAGTACATTATCACATGTTGCTGATCTGCCTAAATGCCACTGTTTATCACTCATTGTTGCAAAATGTAGTGTGCACACATGCATGGGTACACTTACAGAGAGGTGCATACACCCTGATACTGCATAACATTTATTTTATATTTATGTGTTTTTCCTGGATTTAATCCTCATTGTGTTAGTGTTATGTGAGGGGGGAAAACAAGCACTACATTTTCCCATAACGGAGTCAAATAGTGATTCTTTAGAGTAGGTTTGGAAGAGTGTGACCAATACTTTCAGTGTATATAATGTGTTGGGGTTTTTTTTAAGAAAGAGGCATTTTATTTATATGTCCTAAAAACAAGTTTATGTTGTTTATGCTTTAAATGAAAAAAAAACAATGCTTTTTTCTTTTCTACAATAAACTACGTTACAATAAATAAGATGATCAACTGTCCTTCTGCAGTGTGTGATGGGATTTTTTTTTGGGGGGGGGGGGGGGGGAAAGGCATCACGTGACCGATCTAATGATACCGTCTGTTGTTCATCTGTGGCAACCAGGGCCAGACGTCTGTCAGGTCGGGAGGACAAGGGCAAGCGTGAGAGAGTGAGACAAACGAAGGAGCAGCTCTGTGAAAAGAGGAACTTTTTTTTTCTGTGCTCGGCAGTTAGACCTAAATCTATAGTCTGAAGGAAAACATTTGAGTTTCTACGTAAAGAAAAAGAAAGAAAATATCGGCAAAATGATGACCCAGGTGGAGACCACGGTGCACTATGATAACGGCTACGAGGATGAGTATATGATCCAGGAGGAAGAGTGGGACAGGGACATGTTACTAGACCCTGCCTGGGAACAACAACAGAGGAAAGTACGTAAAAAATCGTCTGTTTCTGAAAAAAGTTTAAAACTATCGAGCGTTAGCTAATATTATTTTAGAGAGAAATTAAACAGCTTGGTCTTTTCTTACTCAGAATTGTGTAACTTTAGATGTTATGGTAATTTTTTAATATTTCTATGTAAAAAATATATATTTTACATATGTACACAGTAGTACAGTTCATAACTTTGGGCTAACAGTAAAAAAAAGTCTTGAGAGACGTTAAGCACACCGAGTCGGGGAGATAAACTTCCGGTTAACCTTGTCAAAATAAAATCAGTTCAGCGGGTTCATCGCGACAAGTCACGCTGCTGAAGTATTTTGATCTCTTTACTGGACATTTTGTTCTTGGATGTTGGGATAGGGTAGCTGTTATTCGTGACACTGATAGACATTACCCAAAATATAGTTCAGTGAGGTCGGGAGCAAGTTATAGAGGTGCACAAGTTATACAACCACAACTAGACAATGGCTTAGTAGCTTGAATTTTGCCTTAAGAAGTCAGTGGCCGTTGGGGTTACTTCACCCACCTCTGGTAAACGTAACGTTTAGTTTTATTTTTAAAGGTGGCATTGGTTAACCTCCGGTGTGGTCCTCGCTAAGTGCCGCAGACCTGACGCAGATAGGGTCCAGTGAGTGAGGCGTGAGGGACGGATGCGGTGGTGGGTACCAGCTAACAATAGCTGTACCTTCCAGCGGCTCTCCAGACTGCTGCCTCTCCACTGATACGCGAGGAATGCGAGCTGTCAACAGATGCTTCTAACACATGATGACGCTCTTGGGATTAGAATGGACGCTCCATCTAATTTTAACCTCGGGACCAAAAGGCATTAGTAGGGTTAATCCAGTGTCCTTGGTGCGGAATTCTTTTGTTTATAGAAACCACGTAGAAAAATTGTACCAGCACCAACTCGACTCGATATAGCCTCGGCCCCCAACACCGTCAGTTGGTTTTAGGGCTTTAAAAATTGGCTGGGACCTTATACTGCAGCTCTTTGCACAACTGGAGTCCATCAGCTCCTCCATGCCCTTCGTAACCTCCTGTGGCCTGCGCAGGGATGATAAAACTGTATTTTTGGCAACACCAGGCAGCAACACCACAGTCCATATACACAGCTATTTTTTCCACTCTTTATCTAATTTTGAGTTGATAAGTGGTCATTGGAGGGTGGTTTGAGTTTTTTCTGTTCCTTTGTGCCCCAGTTTGACGCTCAATATTAGCACCCACACTGTGCTGCAGCTTCTATTTGTTGAAAATGGAACAAAATTGCTCTATTACTGATATCTATTGTCATTTTTTCCAAAATATTATCTCCTATACCTTGGTGCAATTAGCTTATTTTAATTCTAGTTGTGGTTGCAATATATTATTGCTTATATGGAGCCCTTTTTAAATCTATTGCCTAATTCATATGAGTTCATCAAGGAGATTGATGACAGAGCAGAGTAGGCACAGCCAGGGTGCTCGGTTTCATTGAGCGAAAGTGATGAAATGTGACTGATACATAGTGAATATCCTTCATCTAAGTTAAACCAAGTGAAAATAGTCATCCATGATCCGCTGATGTGGCTAGGTCTTTCCAAAATGTTAAGCATCCAGTTCGCTTTTATTTTCCATCCTCCAGGTCTCAGCCTGCCAGCCTCTGACCTAGTGAGCCCCCAAAGGCATCCGTCAGTTCAGTGACAGGGTCGGTCCTCACTGGATGTGATTCATAAATATTTTTAGCTTTAATCGTCACCGGGCAGTAGAGGGCGGGGATGCTTGGAAAGTAGGGTTCTGCGACTAGTGGCAGAGCCAGATTTGGAGGACCAGCAGACAAAGTTTTTTTTACAAGGAAGGCAGCGGCTCATTGTCACACACACACACCCGAGGGACTCACTCAGTGTGGAATGGGGATGGCCTTTACTCTAATGCCTGTAATATTCTGATTTTGCTCCGGCACCTGCGGGGCGAGAAGCTGAGTGGCTGGCTGGGCATGCATATGCAGTCCTCCTGGGTACAAGGTTGTCCGTGGATCAGTGCTGGAAAGTCCTAAAATATTTTCCCCATGTCACTCTAGAGTATTTATTCATTCACATATAAATCTAGAAAGTATGCAAGTAAAGTCACAAAAATGTAAAATTAGCTCATTTAAAATGTTCTTCTGTGCTTCTTTTTAGATAGACATCAGCTGTGATCTTTTCCTCTCATGGGCTAAAATCACAATTTTTCTTAAAAGGAAATGAAGCTCAAAGGAAAAAGTGCAAAAGTCAACCCAGTTTATCTTTTCACTGAAAACTATTCATTTTTAATAAAATCAGTAAATGCTTTTATTCTCTACTCCTGTTAATGGAGATGAAAGGTAAAATTGAAACATGTTATCATCAAGTGTAGCATATATCAATAGCAAATATCACATTACAGCTCGTTGTTTATGTACAATTTTTATCATGTAGTTGATTAGTTCATTGATTCATACATCTAAACATAAAAACTAGGAATGGTCAAAAGTGTAAATATTTAGTACAATTTTGTCTACCAATAATTATTGGGGAAGAAAAAACAAGATGAAACTGTTATTGTGGCGCATCATTTTGCAATACTGCTCCCACATTGCCTTTCAAAACATGCTTGTCCTTCATTTCTGCCCCTCCATAAAAGCCTGAACTCATTCTCTGCCAGACTGTGGCAGATATATTTCAATTTGGATTTATTTCTTTATTTAGAGTGCTGAATTGTAATTAAAGTTCAAGGACATTCAGTCACTTAAAAGACAATTTTCTTCACTTTTTAAAAGTTTAATTTTCCAAGGTCTACGAATAACCGAGTTTAAATGATCATGATATCAGTACTGACCAACATAAATAATGATTTTTTTTTTCTTTTGCCATAGTTGGGCAGCCCAAATTGAAACTTGATTTCTATCTAATGATAGTGAGCTGTTGAAATGTTTATATTTTCTGTGTGGCAGAGGGTAATATTTACAACATCCAGATCCATTACTCATCCTTGTGGCATATCTTTCAAATTATTCTAAATGAGAATTTTTAATGTGCCCATCATTCATTCACTCCTGGCTTGTCTCCACACTTCATCGGCAATGCCTGTGCTCTGGAAGAACGGCACACGTGTACTGTGATAGAGCTATCTCCATGCAGCTGTAACATATCAACGTGTCATATTTGAAGTGGCAAAATAGTGACAGAAAGTGACGTGAGGGGAAAACTTGTCCCGCGTCCACGTGACATTTTCACTCATGTTGACGTTCTTCTTCCCCGTCTTTTATCATGAGGCACGGCAGAGCAGTCTAAATTTATCACCTTATATCAGCTGGAATGTGCTCTGTGGTCGGCTCCCAGCTTTCATCCTTACAGTGCTCAGCGTCCATGAACTCTGCTGCTAGCTATTGATAGAGGCTTTATAAAAATAGGCGAAAGACAATGAGCCTGTCTTAACTTGATTTACAGTATTTGAGTACCAAACATGGAGTACATTTGTTCTGATAGGTGTTAGCTATGGAACCATTGTAGGAAATGTTGAAACTTAACACTAATGTTTAACTAATGGACAATCGACTTGGTTATAGTCCTAAGTGAAGATCCCAGTTTGTTTAGGTTTACTGTAAAGAGGAATAGCTTGTAGTTTAATCCACTAAAAAAGTGATATAAATTTTTAGAAGTGAGTATAACTGCCAGTTAAACAAAAATGCCCCCAAAAGTGAAGAAAACTTAACTGATTGCTGTAAATTTCTTTTCGTTTTTGAGTCAAATCCAATTTTTATTGAGCTGGGAATCCTTTTTCTGTTAGACCTTCACAGCTTGGTGTAACTCCCACCTGAGGAAAGCTGGTGTTCAAATTGAAAACATTGAGGAGGACTTCAGGAATGGACTCAAACTCATGCTGCTGCTGGAAGTTATCTCAGGTTGGAGCACTAAAGAGAGTTTTCATTTTCTTGCCTTTTTTTTAGTGTTTCAGTCAGCTTTCTTTCTGTGTCTTATTAGCTGAGGTTATATGCACACCATATTGTGTTTGCAGGAGAGAGGCTACCCAAGCCAGATAGAGGGAAGATGCGGTTTCATAAGATCGCAAATGTTAACAAAGCTTTGGACTTCATCACAAGTAAAGGAGTCAAACTGGTTTCAATAGGAGCCGAAGGTACCTGTGCACGTCTTGTGTATGAATATAATGTAACCATTTAGGGATGCAAGAGTTGGAACCAGGAATTTTTACCTTATGAAATAATCTGCTGGAGACTAAATATAACACTTTTTTGTTTCAGAGATTGTGGATGGAAATGTAAAGATGACTCTTGGAATGATTTGGACTATAATTCTCCGCTTTGCCATTCAGGACATATCTGTGGAAGGTGAGGTTAGCACACACAGTCCAGGAACATATAGGTGCTTCAAGCTACGTGACAACATACCAGGACCTTTCCTGTAAAATGGGCATTTTCGCATCTGACTATGCAAATAAGCACAATTAATCCACACATATAGATAGACACAACAGACTGGATTACTTTATTAAATAAAAACCAGCATCCTTCCTGCTTGTTTTTGGCCAGTTTATAAATAAAAGTGCATTTTATGTTCGAGTAAATTAAACATCACTTAAAAAATGCTAAAATTTCCATCATAATTCTGTTGACTTTACTTTGGTGGGTAATAATATATATATTTGCACAAAAAACCCTGCAAACGAAATGAAAACATTGTTATGGAGTTCACTTGTCACAAAAACAAGTTGTATGATATATCAGTGCACAGAATGCTTGTGTAGTATGTGCCAAATGAGAAAGCTGACCACACGTTTAAATGGCAAATACATGTTCTCCTCAGAAACATCTGCCAAGGAAGGGCTTCTACTGTGGTGTCAAAGAAAGACTGCCCCCTACAGGAATGTTAATGTCCAAAACTTCCATGTCAGGTGAGTATGACACACTGTATTGTGACCATTGAATTTAGATCTTGTAAACCAGGTGTCTATAATCTATTATAACATAATGTAGTGGTTGTTAGGTCAATAGGTTCATCTAATAGCATGATATCAATACTAAGTTCTTCTGTAGATGACTTTAGTAATACAAAATATAAAAAGGAGGATAGAGGATAGCATCAGGGAAATGTTACCACCGCTTTAATGGTGAATATCGGAGCTGGACTCGAGAAATTTCATCTTTATGACCTGACATGTTTATTCTCTGTATTGACTGGTGAAGCTGGAAAGATGGCCTGGCCTTCTGCGCCCTGATTCACAGACACAGACCCGACCTCCTCGACTACTCTAAGCTCAACAAGGTGTTGTGTGGTTTCGCTTGCTGTGTTTCAAGCTTGCACAATAACACTTTGATTTCCACAAACATAAGAAGCACAGTTTTGTCCGCTTTGTGGAAAAGAAGTCTTTATCTACTACTAGAAGATTACACAATTGATCTCTTTACTCTGCTAATAACTCGCTTGCAGTGGTCATCTGTTTGACAAACTAATTTGTGTTTTAACGATCCTGGGGTGTTGTGTTGTGTCTCTTTTGGATATTCTTAGAAATATGTGGCATTTCAAAGGACAAGATCTACATGTTAGTGATTTAATGTGATGTAAGGTGTTTGTAGGAAGTCCGCTGTGTTGTGTTATTAATGTGTTATTTGGCTAATGGTTATAATCCGGCTTTAATTTATGAATGTGTTTCTCTCTATTGTGAGTGCACTCATTTAGTATCGCCTCATGCTTCATTATGCTTAAGCAAATCAGTTTACCTAGCACACAATTTCATCATAATTAGCATGAAAACTGCAACTTTTATTTCAATTTTATTGCTGTGTTTTTGTGCAACCCGCTGCGCCCATTACCAGATTAGATTTAAAAGGCTCCCTTGTTAACAAGGGGTTACCACATGGTGGAAATATATGGCCACTCTACACTCTGAAGAGTCTTGACTTTTCTCTGCATTTGAAACCTACTTAATGACTAGAGTATCACTGTGAAGCATTTTAGGTCAAAAATGTATGTCTCAGTTAAATGTTCTGGTTTAGCAGATGTCCAGGATTCAGGTGAGGGCCTCGGTGAGCTGCTTATTTGCTGCGTGTTTGCAGAGGGCTAGAGAGCACAGCTCACAGCCCTCCCTTGTTCGCCAAGTAGCGATAATACACAAGTAAACTTTTCTCTCCTGGAAGAAGGTGCTGTGTTAGCCAGATGGAAAGGGCAAGGCTGTTATAGGACTATTTGAGGTGTCATGCTTTAACTGCCAGGTGTGAGTTCATAAAAATATGTTTTTCTTCCTTTTTTAAGCCTTAAAAAAAATCACAGCCAGCATAGCTGACCTCACATCAGAACATTTAGTTTGCTCGGGCCATATGTTCCCTGTTACTGTAAATATATAGCAGGGGAACCACCTTGGAAGGATATGAAGAGTGACTTTTCATTCATTTTGTGATCAGAGGCACTCACTTTTCTACACACAGCTGACTGGCCTGACTTGGAGTCAACCCTGAATAGTCACAGAAACATGAGCTTAGTCCCTGCAGAGCGCAGGCTTAGCTTTACCTCTGCCATTGTCCATGCTGTCACGTCGTATTCCCCATTTAGAGGCCACCGGTGCACATAAAAGTCAGGAAGACATCTATACGCATTACACTCATAACATCACAGTGATACTTATTAATCGCCGCAAGGACGGTGATACTTTTATTAGAAAATAATGAAAGTATATACAATGATTCAAATGGACAATGTAAACAAACCATGCTGGCTAGTAATATACTTCAGTACACTATTTCTTGCTACAGCCTTTTATTCACACTTTTTGTGTCTTTGAGATCCATATTCACACATTCAGTCACACCTGAACTTCAGTTCTGCTCATGCTGCTTGGAGACAGTTGCATTGTGCATCAGGCAACCTTTGAATCTGGCTCCAGGTGAGCGAGTTTGTTAAGCCTGTTGAGACAGCTCTTGTCAGGGACACATACACAGACACACACACAGAAGGCTCGAGGTATCCTTATTTCCATTCCTCTATGCCATCAGTTTACCACCCAATCCATCTATCTATCTTTCTTGTACCGGATATGTGAGCAGCTGCCCCTGTCATGTTGTGCACCACCCCTACCCTCTACCTTTGAGGAACAGCGGTACAGTGATAGGGACAGCAGCATGATAGTATGATTCCTTTACCCCTTTGCACTCTTAGTGACAGCCCCATCAGCAGCAGAGGGGTTCACTGTCAGCTTTTGGCTCAAGGCACAACTCCTGTCCTGTCAAACACTTGTATTTTCCTGTCACAGTAACTAGTATGAAAAAGGAGGAATGCATTTCTTTAAAACAATTCCATTAAAAAATAAGAAGAGGTATAGAGAGTAATAAACATCTGCTGGTTATAGATTATTAAATGCTTCCCCTTTCATCATCTCTTATGCAACAGACTAAAACAGCAATTCCTTAATCAAACAAAGAAAAAAAATCAATCATATTCATAATAAAGAGCAGATGGAGATAAATAAATGGTATTTATTTGAGACATAACTGACCTTTCCTGTGAATGTGATCTAATCAACAAATAAAGAATTAAACTGGTATTAAAGTTCTTTGGAAACTAAGAGATGTAATTTCTAAGGTTTTGCAAGGATCTAGTTGAGGGCTAGTAAATGTGCATGTAGATTATATGACCATCACATGTTTTGTGCCTTGATTGCATGGATTTCAGTGGTGTTGTAAGTGTGGCACTGGTGTATAGTGATGTTCTGTGTTCTTATTTAGGATGATCCTCTGGGGAACTTGAACCTGGCTTTTGACATAGCAGAAAAACACCTGGACATTCCAAAAATGCTGGATGCAGAGGGTAATATTTTATGTAGTGGAAAAATATGAGTTTTTTGTGTCCTGTTTATGGTAATGGGTGCTAACAATGTATATCTATTGTTTTGGTTGAATCTCCTTCACAGGGGTCCAAATATCAACCACATAGATTTCTGTCACATATAATTATCTTCATATCTAACTGCATTTTTGTTATGTCTGAACGGAAGTGAAAACCATAAAAAATATCTCCTTCTATTATCCAATGTAGCTGTAGTTTCCTTTAAATTCTTTCTGCCACCTTGACTTTTCATCCCTCTTCATGCCACAGATATCATCAACACCCCCAAGCCCGATGAGAGAGCCATCATGACCTATGTGTCCTGCTTTTACCATGCTTTTGCTGGAGCTGAGCAGGTAGTTTTGTCTGTCTTTTTTTCAATAGCACCATGTTATTCTGAGAATATCAAAAAAATAAAAAATATGTATATACTCAGTTTGATTTAGACACAGCACACTGATTAAAAATCCTTGCCATCTTAGTTCTCTGATCTAATTACATTATTATTGTCCCCGTGCTCTCAGGCGGAGACTGCTGCCAACAGGATCTGTAAGGTGCTTGGAGTAAACCAAGAGAATGAGAAACTGATGGAAGAATATGAGAGACTGGCCAGTGAGGTAAAGTTTAAATATAATGATGGCACTTTGTGTCATGAAAGATTTTTCAAAGTGATGTGCTTTTTGGATAACAGTGATTAAGGTACAGTATTAGTACATTTTTGTTTGTCCTCTGTTTATTATGGGCTGTTCAAATTAAAAGTTCAAAAACAAAATTTTCTCTCTCTACTCAAATATCTCACTGATGTTACAAACTGAGATCCATCTGCTGGAAAAATCAATTATTTATCACCACTCTCTTGCCACTCCACTTATTCCCATGTTGTCCTTGTGTTTTCCAGCTGCTGGAGTGGATCCGCCGCACCACTCCCTGGCTGGAGAATCGGACCCCAGAGAAGACCATGGCAGAGATGCAACGGAAGCTGGAGGACTTCAGGGACTACAGACGCCAGCACAAGCCCCCGAAAGTGCAGGAGAAGTGCCAGCTGGAAATTAACTTCAACACCCTTCAGACCAAGTTGCGCATCAGCAACCGGCCTGCCTTTATGCCCTCTGAGGGGAAGATGGTATCTGTAAGTCACAACTTCATATTCATTCATTCATGATTGAGTCTTGCGATCAGTTCTGTTGTGGTTCAGACACTAAAGATTGCATTGTGTTGACAGGATATAGCCAGTGCATGGCAGGGTCTGGAGCAGGCAGAGAAAGGGTACGAGGAATGGCTTCTTACAGAGATCCGTAGGCTTGAGAGGGTGGACCACCTTGCAGAAAAGTTTCGCCAAAAAGCAACTAATCATGAGAACTGGGCCAGCGGTCAGTTGTAGTTTGTGTATTTACCTTTTTGATTGCTGTTGATGTGTCTATAGGTCCACATGTTTATCTTGGCCAAGCACTTTATATAGAGCGCATTTTACTGTTTAGATTTCCTCATAATGAAATGTTATTGAAGGTTAATTTCTGCATCTGTAATGACCAGATAAGGACTGTTTTTAGTAGAACCTTATTATTATCTCAATATTCCTTTTTCATATGTGACATTCAGGTAAAGAGCTGTTCCTTTCCCAGAAGGACTACGAAACAGCCACACTGACAGAAATCAGAGCACTGCTTCGAAAACACGAGGCCTTTGAGAGTGACTTGGCAGCCCACCAGGACAGAGTGGAGCAGATTGCTGCCATTGCACAGGAACTAAAGTATGCACTCCCAACAGCAGATGTATGCAGTCACGTATCACCGAAATCCAGGACAGGAGAAATAATAGTAAAGTCAATGAAATTAATCTTGTTTTTTTCTTTCATGCACACTTCATGCACAAATGCACATGCATTGTTTTTTGGCTTTAGACCCGGTACAACCCACTGGTGATTACTGGGTTAAATTATGGGTGACAAGCAATAGAGGTCACTGCTGTCCTCTCACACAGAAAATAAGCTATGGTTCATGCATCTCAAATGCATGTGAATTAACTGTTAACCACTTAAGAACCACTAGATGCCAAGGCAGAGGTTAGGTAGCTATTAGAGGTATTCTTAGTTAAGATTTTAAGTACTCAGAAATGAGAAAGGTGTGGCTCATGGGACTTCTGAGATTTTTTTCAATCAGTGCACAATGATAGATGTGAATACAGAGCGTTTGTTGTTTTATATTTGAAAACACTGAGGAAAAAAGAGAAGGAATCAGCTATTGAGGGATAGCTCAGTAGGTAGAGTGTTTGCACCATGATCCCCCCCAATCAGGGATTCAAATCCACTGAACGGCTACACTGAGATACCCTTTGGTAGGTGCCCGGTGCTTCACTGAGTGAATGGGTTAAATGCAGAGGACTAAGCAATTTCCTATGGGATTAATAAAGTATACATTATTATTATTGACCAAAATGCTGGTTTTCTGTTAAAAGTAAGACTAAAACTTCACTGAGATCATAATGCGCTGGGATGCAGTCATATTTTCAAAGTTATTATGTGAACACATACCTTAAATATTATTTCCTCCTAGGCTGGAAAGAGACTGATCCTGTTAACGATGTGGTCTCTAACACAGAGGTGCATGCTGTCCTTCTCTTTGGCTCACTCTCTCCTCCACCTACTGACACAAATGATACGGCTGTCTCATTTTTGCATAATCCAGCGAGTTCAGAAGTAAATTCTATACCTGAAGCTAATTCTGTGTAATGATTTACTGGAACCTACTCAGTCTCTGGAGCAACTCAACCTAGCCCAGTTATATGCTTTCCTTCACCTCTATTTCATGCAGGTGATGAAGGAAATTTTGAGCACAGTAAGGGTGGGAAACCTGTGAGCTTGATTTTGCACTACATCTCTCTTTTGAACCTTTTACCAACCTGGTGAGTTGAGTAGCTATGCAGCTATCTATGACCATCTAGGTGAAGACAGAGAAACAAAGACCAAGGCTTTCTGCCAGTGCCTCCATATGTATATCCACATGCCAACCATTATGCCTCAGCTGGGGAAGCTTCACAATACCATGAGACACCATTTGGCGCAAAGCCGCACTACCTCTTTGTGATTCGTCAGCTTCTTCATTACACAGTGCCACATTTACATGCTGAACACGAGGCTAGCAGAGTTCATCAGAATAATGTCTGCCGTGAGAGATACCATCTCCCAGCCATCTTCAGCCACCCCCACTGGGACACAGGTTACCAGTGGACCTCCACTGCACACAAGACTCTACCAAAGACAAAAAGCATTTTTAATTTTTGTTTTTTTCAAATAGCTTGAAGCGGTCTGGGGTTAAGGCAACTCTTATTCCTGTAGTTTACCGTATGGTGTATTTTGACCTTTTCCATTGAATGATATCTCAATAAAATGCTACATGAACCCTGTTCACTGTTTTCCTTTGAGGTCACTTATACTTTCACCTAAAAGTGCAGCTTCAGATGCTCATCCAGGGAAAGCAGTGACAGAGTCTCAACACTGTGATGATTTTGGTGGTGCATTTTCTGTAAATGAGTGCCTAAACCTGAATACTAATTCAAGCAGTTTTAAACGCTCTGAAGTTCAAAGCCAAGAGCCTTTTTTTCTTCCAAGACTGAGCTGAATATGTTCTGTTTTTTCATGTGTTAAACTTTAATTTAAAGTAATCTTGCAGTCCTCATTATTATTTATTATAGCTATTTGCTCTCAAATTTTCTTTTCTTTGTTGTTTTACCTCAACTTAATACAGTTTTCTCATGCAGTAGGATTTACATATCTCTATATCATACTATATATTCTGTATACCACAACTCTAACCAGTGCTGGTGGGTGGATGGGGCTCTGTTTTCCAGAAGTAAAAATGGCACAACAGGTTTATTTTTCTTTTCCTAGTGAGTTGGACTACCATGATGTTGCTGCTGTTAACCAGCGCTGCCAAAGCATCTGTGACTTATGGGACAAGCTGGGAACGCTGACTCAGAAGAGGAGAGAGGCACTGGAGGTAAGAACAAAATTTCACTTGTGAGTGTATGACTGAAGGGGATTTATGGCAAAGGCTTTAGGTATTAATCCATTATAGCTGTAGAGATCTTAAAAGTTCTCAAGTTCTTTGTATATATTAAGTCCCCACAAGAGTGTGCTAATGTTCTACGCATTGAACTACCATCAAACGCCAGCTCAATTAAAATTTTAGTCAAAGCATTTTAGATGTCTGTCACTGCTGTGAGTGTTGAAGAGACAAGTGATTGAAGGGGACAGATAACTGGATCCCCTCTAAAATCCCTGCCCCGCATAGAAAGGTAAAATAGAAGGGTAGAGGGGATAAAAGAGATATGGATGTAGATGTCATATCCAGAAAGCAACTGGCTAAAAGCCCACTAGCCACTTCCTCTGAGCCATACTGGCCATTCCAGACCCACAAATGTGTGAGGGCCTGGGAAAAGGGCCAAGGATTAAGTCTGAATGACAGGAACAGGGGGCTGTTTATCTCTATCTTCTACTTCCAACTATCTCCCATTGAGGGGAGGGACTCTGTCAGGAACAACCAAGCCAGACTTGGGAGCTGGGGTTAACAAGTCAAAGAAAGTTATGCACACTGCCATCATTCTCAAAACAGGTGAGAGGGTGTTTAAGTCATACTAAAGCGTAACGCTGAGCTGTGATTAGATATTGTGACAATTTTAGGATTTCAACATTTATAAAACATGTCTGTTATGTTTTGTAATCCTCTCAGCGCACAGAGAAACTGCTGGAAACCATTGATCAGTTGTTCCTAGAATTTGCTAAGAGGTCTGCTCCTTTCAACAATTGGATGGAAGGAGCGATGGAGGATCTGCAGGACATGTTTATAGTGCATACTATTGAAGAGGTTCAGGTAAGTTTACTATATTCTGAGGAGAGCAGCCTTTGGCATTAAGTGCTTATAATGTGATCACAGTGTAATTTTACAGTTTTTCATATAAGCCCATTTAATGGATTCCTCGTGATTGGGTTTCATAATATATAATGTTGTGTTGAAAAAACAAAAATGCTATATAGTGCGCAATGTTTCTATTTGTCACACCCTAAAAAAAACAGCACATAATGTTATCTCTTGGGACAAAATTGACATTTCCATAAAATTTCAACACTTTCCTCTCCTGCTTCCCCTTCCAGAGTCTAATCGCAGCTCATGAGCAGTTCAAAGCTACTCTTCCCGAGGCAGATTCAGAGAGACAGGCCATCTTGGGAATCCACAATGAGGTGCAGAAAATTTCACAGAGCTATGGGATCAAGGCCAGCTTTATCAACTCTTACAGCACTATCACAACTGAAGAGCTTCTCAACAAGTGGGAAAAGGTAGCTACAGTTTTCAAACTGATTTATAGACTCAGAGAGTATATTAAAGGGTAGTCATAGAGATAGTGGACATAAGAGAACACTATCATTGTTTACTAATACTGATATTTTATGACAGAGGAGTCAGCAATCGCTTAGTAAGTTTGCAATCCAAATCACTATCTCTTAATAAAAATGTAATTTATACAACCAGCAATAATGTATCTGTTCTGTGTATCTGTGCATGTTTTCTAGGTGAAAAAGCTGGTTCCTCAGAGAGATAGTGCCCTCCAGGAGGAGATGGCACGCCAGCATGCCAACGAAAGGCTGAGACGGCAGTTTGCTGCCCAGGCTAATTTGATTGGGCCCTGGATACAGACCAGGATGGAGGTTCAGTATACAGGCTTAATAAGCAAATTCTACATTAATCAAATAAAGTCTGAAATGGAAGAGGATTATTTTCTAATTCATTGTACTTAGACAAGTAGAATAGCAGTTTCATTCCTGATGATGATGATATCTGAATAATACAAAGTAAATTTACTCAGGATATATTTATACACACATGTACTCACCTCATAGTTCTTATACAGAGTAAAATTACTGTCAGTCACATGTAATTGGCTCTTTGCAGATTCAGTAAGCAAACCCTCTTCATGACCAGTTTTGATCATAAGATGGGGCTCTAAGAGCCCCATCTTATGATCAAACGAGCTTACGAGCTAACCTCGTGGCATGTACCGTCCTAACAGGAAATAGGGCGCTGCTCCCTGGAGATAGGAGGCACCTTGGAGGACCAGATGACCCAGCTGAAGCAAATCGAGCATGTCATAGTTGCTTATAAACCCAATATTGACAAGTTAGAGGGAGACCACCAGCTAATCCAGGAGTCACTTGTGTTTGATAACAAACACACCAACTACACCATGGAGGTACTGGAAATTGAGTTTTATAGCTACATATACATAGAAAAATAGATTCATTCTTAAAGTAGGTTTGTCAACATAAACTTGGATTTCCAGAGTCTGTTAACATTTCTGGTCTGTCAACACAGCACATCCGTGTTGGGTGGGAGCTGCTCCTCACAACCATCGCCCGAACTATCAATGAGATTGAGACCCAGATCCTGACCCGGGATGCTAAGGGCATCAGTCAGCAGCAGATGAATGAGTTCAGATCGTCTTTCAACCACTTTGACAGGGTACAGCGTTTTGCCATTTCACTTCACTAGAGCCATTTTCTGCCTATTCCAGTGGCCGATGTAAAGCAATCTCAGTAGCTCAGAAGAAGAGCAGGGGGTAGCCCAGTTTTAAGAGATGTGTCTTGAGCTTATGAGCATCAAAACCCAGGTGTTAACTCTTATGTGGTATTTGTGACATCCATAAACTGTATAAAACACGGATGTAGCCACAGCAGCTTTACATGTTGGTCAGTGCAGTCTCTCTGTAAAGCTGGGTGTTTTTGGCACTGTTGTCTCAGTATTTTGTAACGGGATGTGATGAGCGAGGATTGGATCTCTCTATGAAGCTGAGCAACACTGCATGCTCATTAGCTAATGACTTGTGATTGATGAACCAATGAGCATACCGTTTTATCCTCCTTCCTCACTCTAATGGGGACCATAATTTACAAATTATGTTTTAGTTATTTACTTGAAGCTAGCAGTTGTGCCCATAAAGTCTGGCTGTAAACCTGCATGAAAAAGAAAGCAGGTTTAAACTTCATTGGCTTTACTTTTCAGATCTAGAAGCTACATCCATGTTTTAAATACTGTCTCTGATACTTGCTAAATCCCATCCAGCTCAAAGTGCAATGTTCTGCACCCACCCCTATATTTAATATGAAGGTTGGTCAGGACTAAAGGTGAAGATTAAACATTTTTACTGGTATCTTGCTGTGAAAGTATTAAAATATCTAAGTATATATATATATATATATATATATGGTTAAGATTATTTTTATATAGTAAAACTTCAATGATAGATGACTTACTCAAGCATGTCTCAAATATATTCCAGTCACATCTGTACAGCCACATACTGGTTCCCCTCACCATGATGGAGTAACAGCTTGGATAATACACCCAACAAATTCCAATCTCATTACAAAACTGACAATGCTGTAGCTTTTTGTGATTGATAAGAATGCTTTGGATCTGTGTTTCCAACTTCCATGTGCCCAGTTTCAGTGTGAATGCACGTGCATGTGCCATATTAGCTTTTAAGCTTTTTTATCATGAAATCTTCAACTTTTATCAAAAAAAGCCAAAAGATAAGGAAACTGAAATATACAGCCGTTTTCCTCTTTGTAACTTATTTTATAGCAGAGCAGCCTGTCTCATAAAATTCATGTTGAGAGTATATTGAATGCTTATGATGTTTGGTATTCAGCCTTTTCTGTATTTCTCTGACAACACTTTCTGAAATTTGGCGTCTGGTTTGTAGAAGAAGAATGGAGCAATGGAAACAGATGACTTCAGAGCCTGCCTCATCTCCATGGGATATGACTTGGTAAGGCGCTTCACTGTTATTTGGATGCAGCTGTGTTATTAGTAAATTCTGCAATTGTTTGATTTTCACACATACAGTCACACATACATGCAGTCATTATGGGTCTTCATTCACGCCTATTTCAGGGAGAGGTGGAGTTTGCTCGCATAATGATGCTGGTAGACTCCAATGCTACGGGAATCGTTTCCTTCCAGTCTTTTATCGACTTTATGACCAGAGAGACTGCTGATACAGACACTGCCGAGCAGGTTGTGGCATCCTTCCGGATCCTGGCTGCTGATAAGGTGTGTATGGGGCTTACTGGCATATGGGCAGATATTTTTAGCATAAGCTATTCCTGTCATTATTTCCAGGGATTTGCCACGTCATACTGATTTACGATGTACTTTTTTGTAGATGAGAAACAAATTAAAACAGAAAATGGGAGTAAGAATCTGAAATGCAATTACCTTTCCACGTCCACAGCCTTATATACTTGTAGAGGAGCTCAGGAGAGAACTTCCCCCTGAACAAGCAGAGTATTGCATCATGAGGATGCCACCCTACGCTGGTCATGGAGCACCACCCGGGGCACTGGACTACACTGCCTTCTCCACTGCCCTCTATGGAGAGAGCGATCTTTAACCTGACCAGAAAACCTTTCATCCACCGTCCATTAACCTCTCCTCTGCTTTCCCACCCTCCCTCCCCTCCATCTCATGGTGAAGTTAAGGAATCTATAATGCAAGTTGGATCAAATATACCAAATGGAATGAAAGTCTTTATTGATTAGTTTTCTCACACATTACTCATGCTGAGCATTGTTCTGTTTCTTTAGTACTCATCTTGTGCTCTCTGGCAGAAGATGCTTCCCACAACATAGAAATAATGATGAAAAAATTGAAATTAGAAGCAATTCAATTTGATTTTTTTTTTGCTTGTGTGGTATGATGATTTGGTTCAGGATCGTGGAATTTAGGTAAAACTGGAAGATACAGGAAATAAAGGAGATTAGTTAGTCATACACCAAAAGGATCGTGGTGTTTCAGTAATTTTTCTGTAAAGAAAATAGTCATTTTTGGCAAGCAATGTTGTGTATTGTTTTATTTTTCCCCACAGTACACTTGTTTTGGGAATAAAATCTTCTGATAAGGCATTTTGACATGCTTCAAGTGAATTACAGTTTGCAAAAGCAATTTCAGACCTACTGCCATCCATCAATAAACAGTGTGTTCCCCAAAAGGCCAAAAATATGCAGTACCAACAGAAGACAAATCGAAAACCACACGAAGGCAAAAGTAAATGTTTGCTCAGTGCTTTGAAAGCTGAAAACACTGTAGACTAAATGTGCAGTATTCACTAATGGTAAGATCAAACATTTGTTGGGTAGTGACAAACTCTAATGCTTACATGTGTCTGGAAAAGTGGACAGTAAATTTCAAGAACTGCACATATAATAAATATCAACTATAATACAACAGGTGGTGCCATCATGGAAAAAATGGCCTAACAATACTAGACTTTGTGGCTGTGGTGTTTATCGAAATCCTTTATTTGTCCAGAAGCTTCCCATTAATTTCAATTAGTCGTAGTTTTCCATGGTAAGCTGACAAAAACCCCAAAGGATCTCAATGTCATATTTATCTTTAAATTGCATTTGAGGAAATTACTGTAAAATGTGGGACAAGAATATTATACTCATGTTCCATACTGTTTGAACATGAAATTTTAAAATTGAGTGGTATTTAAAAATATGGTGATGACAGTGATTTGAGACTAATATAATAAAAAAATAGGCTGGTAAAGTTGTCTTTGTTTGATGCTCTAAATAATTAAAAAAGCATCATCATTGAATACTCTCCACACAGACTGAGCTAAAACATGCCAGAACATATATCCAGTCCAGTCAATATGATTTCAGGTGCAAGCTTTTCCTTTCAAAAGAGAAATATTTCTGGTGTAACTTGTGAGCTCTGACTCTGACACCTCTGATCTCTATAGGTGATGTTCTTATTTTTGGCAGAGACATGGATTTGTTGTATTGATCTAAAACTTCAGGTAGTAAAAACACCTTAAAGAGAAAACAGCTGGCTCCAGTATGACTCTGTTCAGTAAGTTACACTTTGTGCTCCAAGATAATGGATTCATTAAATAAACTTTATAATGCAGCCATTTATTTCAAATGGTGAATGTGTTTCTTTTTATGTTTGTCACCAGATGGGGGGAAAGACCATAATCCACATGTAAACAAGTCCCTGCACAAGAATATCAAACTGTAAATTTTAGTAGATGCGGATTAATTAGATATAGATATTCCTAAATTTGTATGGGTTGTGCTGCAAGCGAAGAAGTAGTACGTCAATATGAAGTCAATATGAAGTCAATATGAAGTCAATATGAAGTCAATATGCAAATACATCCATTGGATGTATTTGCATTTGCAAATACATCCAATGGAGGGACTTGGTCTTTCATGACATTTACTCTTCCTCCTCAATTCCATTTTTCTTCTGCTACATGGTTAGCAGTTCATCCCTACCACTCGAGTATATATGCCATCAGAAAGGTTAATGGTATGGTTAATTGGCCTGCTATGATTTTCAGTCAACAGTCAATGATGGGCAGCTGTGTGTTGTTACCTCCTCATTCTGGGATTGGCCAAGGAGGGTTTGCCATTTCATATTTAACCAGCACTCAGACGAGGCTATTTATGCAGCTGACAAGCAAAATGGGTTCTTGTGTTCTTGTAAGGTAGCGTGCGGCTAAATAATTATATGCACTTATTCACAAATGTTCATGTTTTAGTGCTTATGACCCTTTTCCCCCCTACAGTCAGTTACCATTCATTGCACTCTTGAGCTGGAACGTGCATGGCTTTCCTGCTAAAGGTAGGAATACACCTTAATGAGATTATAAATCTTATAGATGCTTATTTAAAATATATATATATATCTATATCTATATATATATATATATCTATATATCTATATCTATATCTATATATATCTATATATATCTATATATATCTATATCTATATATATCTATATCTATATCTATAT